TTGATGGTGCTCCTTATGGCTGTGTGCAGGCTTGCCTCTCGCTGCAGATTACTCTGGTATGTTTTCTTGTCCTTTCTCTAGTCTGGAAAAGATCAAGTTCCATCTATTTTTTTAGGTAGTATTTGTCCTTTATTAGAAATTCTTTGGCAGTGGATTATACAGAATCAAGGGGACTGCTTTGTCACCACCAACCTCCCCTCCCCTGTCCCCTGGTGGCACTAATGGCCATTAGCGTTAATTATTTAGAGTTCCTTGTTTTTCACACAGAAAGCAGCGATCAATGTGCAGTGCCAGGTATATGGCTGTGTACCCCCTGACTCCAGTACTTTACCCCTTATCTTTCAAAGTGTTTGTTTTCTTTGATACAGCCTTTGGTTTTTATTCAGCGCGGTGTAAGCAGCGCTATTTAGAAAGCTTGTTATTTTTATTTTTTTCCAGGCAGGAACATTTCCTCTGTAAATGTTAACCTTGTGACACAGTCTGAAATGTTTCTTTTCTTGTGTTTTTATTCATCTCCTGCTAATTTTCAACTGTTGTGCATTCTGGGCTGCAGACCATGTAATGGCAAAACCAAATGGGTAACCTTTTCACCTAGGCTCACCTATGGCTTTTTTTGCTGTTGGATATGGATGGTCCACAGGGTGTCCTGACTGGAAGTATTAAGCAATCATGAGAAGTAAAGATCTAGACACAGTTATTGTTTCCTATCATGCGCAAAAACACCCCAAAACTGAGTAGCCACAGACATTGTATGCAATAAATAAGATAATGCGTCTGGCTTCTAGACTGGCTACTAGCAATTTCAAGCACCTTTGTCCTGTGGGTGGATTGTGCAAACTGGTACTGAATCATTCCAACTTCAGCTGAAATCCCATTGAAATAAGATACTTTTTTTTTTCTTTTTTTGTGGTGGAGGGAGAAGTGTTCACACCAACTGGCCTTCACATAACCAAGTTGTATGGATGGATTGACTGGATGACTTCTGTAGTGCCTAGAGATAGGTCTTCCTTAAGATTCAACTTTATCCACTGTTCCTAAACCACAGGGCTGTAGAACAGGGCATAGTATGTCTGGTGTCCTTCTAGGTAATTTTTGAGCATTTGTGGCCTTCTGAGCTCACATCAGAATCAGGTCCAGGCTATGGTACAGATTTGTAGTCACACATTGCATTCTGTATATGCTCAGCAAAACAGAATTTGCCATATGTCATGGTCTTCCTGTGTTACTTTGGTCACATAAAGACAAAAGATTTGAGAAAATTTTCCTGTAAAAATTGAGGACCACTGCATGTTAGAAACAGCAACACTTGGGGTCACGGTTTTGTCCCATGGGTTATTCCATGTACTCATCGTAGGTAGGATTAGGGAACTTACAGCTTCCCAGCTCCAAAAGTTTTACCACACAAGACTGCAAAGTTAACACATGCCAAATAATATGAAATAACCTGAGTTGTGGCCTTACTTCATGGACCACATCACTCACAAGATAATACAGTGTCATGCAACACAAATACTGCTCCTGATGGGTAATGGCATTAAGAGTCCTGAAGTCATGGTACAAAACTTGCTTAATGATTTGCATTTTTTCCCCTATGTTACAAAACGTAGTTGAGCAGATGGATGCAGCCAGCTGTACACAGAGCTTTAGGGAGTACTGGGGAGAAGAGAGAAAGGGTTTGTTAAGATAAATGTAATAATCTCTGTGATAATTAGTTTAATTTAGATCCCTGCATCTGACTCATTTTTGACTAACCTTGTATGAAGCCTTTCTTGCCTTGCTGACGAGTCTGTGAATTTAGTTTGATTACAATCCCTTTTTTTGTGCTTGTGGATTGCTCACTGATCACTGATATTTTTCATTAAGCAGTTGCTTTATTACATTGTTATTTAGAGGGGAGTAATTTGTGCTTTCTAATTAATTTAATTCCAGGCACATTTAGTAAGTAGCTACAATGAGCCCATTCAAGGGGTTTTAGGTCATATTGACATTGTTTACCAGATGTGCTCGTTTGTTTTAAAACACTGTTAACTCTTGTGATGACAACAGCCTCATTCAGTTGTATGACTCTTCCACCATCTCTAATCTGCAACCTCCAAAACCCCGCAAAATTAGAAGATGTGTTTCAAGTACTGTAGTGAGAGTTGTCCACAGGCATTAAATTAGAGAGGAATTATATTGCAAACTGTTGATATAAACTATTACTATTCCATTATCGGATTTGAGGGCAGAGCAGCAGGGATGTGAATGCCATTACTCCGACTACTAAAAAATTGGACAATGCCAGAGATGCAAACTGGGTGTTAAGTCCACACTTGGCCCATTTACTTCTGAAAAACTTGCAATGAGGCTTCAGGAGAGAACGGGGCAGCTGGGAGGATAAGCGTACCAAGCAACGCATGGCATGAGCAGTGGACTGAGCAGTGATGGGACATGGTTAATGTAATCAAAAAGTGAATGTTGTGATTCATAGTTGTCACCATCCCAAACTCATCGGCATGGGCAATTGGTTTTGCCAGAAGCTTTTTGATAAAGCTTAGCATTTTCTTGCTAGTGATGCTTCCAGGATTTGGGGGTTATTCAAGCACTTCGTGTTCGTCACTGTTAAATACTGTATCCATTCTATCATCTGAACATGAAAACTACATATTATACCTATCATTTGCTCATTTGGCCTGCTGCATCAAGAACTGGAGTTTTAAAATGAGACCCTAATTAGATGAATCAATAACATTTTTACAGGAAAATGTACAGGCAGGTTATTCCCCTGACTATAAGCTTGTCCCATGAAAAACTACCAACATTTGTTAATGTGTTCTGCAGTCACTTATTTTGGTAAAAAGTCAATTACTGCTTGTTCTGCAGCAAAGCCTGGCACAGAGCAGTGACACTGTAAGATTCATCAGCCTCTGAAGGACCCACTAAACAATGGCCTTGATGTGTTTTCCATTATTTTTCAAGCGTTTTCCATCTTTTTTTGGATCAGAACAGCCAAAATTAATGACAAACTTTGAAGGAAAGGTTTGTTCAGTAGTTTATACTTAGCAAATTTTAACATTTAACGCTTGTGATGCAATAAATTGCATCCTGGTACAATTTGAACCAACAGCCCAGCTGCATCTCAGCTTCATCTTTTGCGGGGAACATATAAATTGCTGCAATACCTTTTCTGACTCACGTTGGTCTGTTGAGGGTGCGTGCGTGCGTGCATGGGGATCTGTTCTACCTATTGACTTAATAGGAAAGAGCATCCCTTGGAAAGAGAGAGTAAACGTGCGTGCGTGCATGTGGAAGGGGAGTGAGGGAGAACCTCTATCTGTGTGTTTATCTCTGTGATAAATGATGCCTGTTAAAAATGTGACTTGCCGTGAACATTATTAGTGCTTTCCTCTTTAAGTGGATTACACAAACACAGTCACCGTCAGCAGAAATGAAGCTGCAGTCTTGATTGTTTAGTTCAAACAGTTTTGATGTTTCATTGTCCCTCGATCAATCAGTGCCTGGAGGGGTATCAGCTATTGGCTGGGAATGCATCAGAGCGACGTGCGGAGCACAGATATTCCTCAAAAGCTGAAAATACTTCGTTTAAAATACTCACTACAGTTTGCATCCCAGTCTGTGAGCAGGCAGCAAAGTGAGCTCTGTTTATCATTTTTAATTGTGGATCTACCCTATTCAGAACTAACATCTCCCAAATTACCTTAAAATGAGCTGCTTCCTAGACAGATTTGTAATTCACTTGCATCACTTATTTTATTCTCTGTGTAAACGTTAGACGAGGGCATGGGTTTTAGCACAAACAAAATGCATAAAGTAGAAAACATAATGCGGCGTAAATGCCACATAAATCACATCCTAAAGACAAAAGCAGATTTCAAACATCTGAATTACTGAGCATTTAATGTAGAGTGTAATCTTCTGTTTTGGTTTATGTTTGTTTTCTGGAGTGCCACACAGAGCAAAATATGGGGAGTTCCCTCTCCTCCAACAGTGGAGGAAAAGGAAGGTGATTCGCAAAATGCCCAGGAAAGAGCTTTTCCTGCGTTGTAGGTAGATCCCCCGGCCAAGTGTCTCCTTTGCTGCTGGGAACTGAGCTATATGCAGAAGTAGTCGATAGAAATCCCACTCGAGTTCTCTTGCTCATCACAGAGTGAGTAAGAGGCTGCTCCAAAATGCAAAATTGTCCTTGAAAAATCCTTCTCTGGTGCCCTCCCAGTTGTTTCTTCCTTCAGTTCCATCAGCTGCAACCTGTGTAAGCCCCCCTTCTCCCAGCTCCCTAGCATCCCCCCAAGGGTCAGGACATTTGCAGTGCTGTTTTCAAGCCTCAGCTCTCTGAAATTGTAACTAACAGATAAAATCTCTGGCTTCAAACATTTACACTTAGGATGGACAGGAAGGAAAACGCATGTTTTCTCAGTAACATTCGCGCTTTTAGGGATAAAAGCTTATTCCTCCTCATGCTTTTGTTTTCCTTTGCCCAGCCCATGCCTCCCAGCTCAAGCCAATGCACATTTTCCTTTCAAAAATCGATGCCTAGAGAAATACTTTTTAAAAAATCAACCTGTTCCCCCTCCGCTGCCGCGATTGGTCCGATAAAATCACCGAGCCGATCGCGTCAAAAGGAAACAGCCTTGGCTTAATTGTAAGCTAAGTCTCCCGTAATCCAGGGGAGCATTTGAGATTCTGCCCAAGCGCTGGGTTCGGCGGCCGCTGAGGGCTGTGGGTTTCTCTCCCAGCCTCCCGGCTGCTGCAGCACAAGTCAGCATAGCTAATGCAGATAGAGCTCTCCCCCCGCTGCCTCTTCCCCGCTCCCGTCTCTCGCTCGCTCCCCCTCTCCCTGTGCTTTGATTCGATATGAACAGACTGGTAACTCCGATGCGAGAGCGAAAGCTGACATAACTCTGCAGATGGCTACGTTCGGATGATACACCTAGGGATTTTTCTTTAAGGGAAGGTACCGGTTAGATGCTAATGTTTATTTTTCCCTTGTTGCCATTTTTCAGGACTGCCGGTCCCAAAGAAGAGCCCAAAGTCGGTAAGCACTCTTCAGCTACTATTTTTGTCTGTTTGTCTGCTTCGAAGGAGAAAGGCATGAGTTCGGTTTGTTTTCTTTGTGGGTCTCAATTGGTTTAAGTTGTCTTTCTGTTGCAACCATGATTACCTTGCACGGCTCCTGCTGCATGGGGAGATGAAAGAGGAATGCAGTACGGAAGAGGGACTTGTTTGCAAATAAAGCCTCAGGTTTACAGATCCTCTTCCCTGACAGATGAGCTTCTCTGTTGTTTAACTTAGCAAAAAAAAAAAGCTATTGTTTCCTTTTGGAAAGATGGGAGGCTCCACCTTCTTGCCAGACAGCAATTCCTGTCGGGTGCTCGTAGGCACCAACCTTTTCCATTAACTCCCTGAGTTTTCTCGAGTACCCTCAGCGGAATTATTAACAGAATGGGCAAGCATGCACCTTGTTGAGAGAGACAAAGCATGAATTGAGCATGATTATCGTTCCCGGGGAACACAGTTAGCTGTCCGAGTGCTTGCTCTGGAGGCATTTTCATACTGAGCAGCGTTGTGGTGCAGGTGTGAGATTCCTTATTTTTTTTAAAAAAACCCTCAGAACAGTATTTTCTCGTCCCTTCTGATCCTATTTCCATGTAAAGCTGTTACCTGGATGACATGTTAGCTAATAGCGTGGAAGCCGTGATCTAAAGTATCATTAAAGCTCCATGCATGATATTGTGGAAGAAATTAATTGCTATTTGTATGCAACACAAAGAAATGTTTTATTTTTAAAGGAAATGGAATGCTTAAAGCCTGAAAGTTTCCAGCTATCTGTTGAGAGGGAGGGGGGAAAAAAGAGAATTCTCTCCCGGTAGCTTGGGGGAAGCAGAGTGAGTGAGGTCTTTGCCGTGTTGTAAGACGGCGCGAAACTTCACCGACAGTCCCCGATGGGTGCCAAAAACTGCAGCTGGGCGCAGCCCGCCTCGCTGCAAACCTGGGCAAGAGGTTTATGAAGGGGCTGAGCAGAAGGCTCCTGCTTTTAATATGACTTCTCTGTTCATCCAAAAAGAAAGCCCTGAAATAATTAATGTGATTCTGATGGCTTAGGGCAGCGCTGATTAAAGTCACGTGAGCCCAGGCCTCTGCCATTGTCAGCTCGCATTAATGTTGAGAGGCAGAAGTGTGGGGTGTGCTCCCTCGCAGATCACAGGCACGTCAGACCCTGCACGCTCACTTCTGTCATACGCTGAGATTATTTCAGCTTTCGGTAAAACAGAAGCAAGTGTGTAAAATATGTACGCGTCTGGCACTTTTCTCTGCCTGCGCTTTTTTCCCCAGTTGGAGCAGGAGCGGCTGCATTCAATCCGGACTCTGACTCCTGCCATCAAACCAGCCCCGATCAGTGAGTCTCGGTCTGTGCAAAGCGTGGAGGCTCCCACTTTGCCACACGCACATTTGGCATCAGGTAAAGGGGGATCCTGCCCTGTCAGACACCTCTCTGGTTGGCAGCAATGCACCGTGAAACTCTGAGTAGCGTCTAAATCCATGCCGGGATAATCCTGCCTCGGTGAACAAAGAGACTTGCTTGCAAACAGGTGTAGCCCTGCAACAGCAGATTTCTCCCTACTGTTCGCTTTGAGGAGCCGGTCAGCCCTGGGAAGGCAGTCCCATTGCCTCGCGTGCCTCTACTGAACCCCTCTCACATTGCTTTAGGGTCCCTCCAGTAATTTTTACTACGGCCCTAGGCGGTGCTGTTGCCTCTAAAGCGCAGGATTCACAAAAACCAGAGCCTCCCATTCCCCCAGCCTGCACACGGGATCATTTGCATCGGCAATTAGCAGCGATGTTTTACACTGCCGCATTGTGCGGCAGCTTTAATGAGCGACCGCTCCTCGGAGGGGCAGAGCAGAGCGTGTCGGAGCCAGCACAGCCGCTCCTTCGTTCCCCAGCATCTGTGACATGCACGGGTTGAGCGCAGAAACCTGGAGCAAAGTGCCCCGAGGCACCTGTATGCAGAGGAGGAATCTCCTCGGGGCTGTCTGGGATGGATTTACACCAACACCAGAGCTCGTGTGGCCAAAGGCGATGGTCGAAAGCATAAAAGCAGTGGTATTGCTTAACACCGCCCTTCCTCGGTTTAGTTGCAGGGCCGGTGCTTGGCTGCAGGGCGAGGGGAGCCCGGCCCTCTTGGCCGTGAAGATTCCCGCTTGCTCTTGCCTCGGCAGGGGATAGCCAGGCCTGCCCACGCCATCTCGCTGCGCCCTGCCCCGCCATGTCCCAGGGATGGTTTGCTGCGCTTGCAGCCCTTGGGTGAGCGTGGGTGCTGCCGGCTGAGCTGTGCACCCGCGGGCTGTCCCCGGCGCCGCACGGCTGGCTGCGGGGCTTGGGTTGAACGTGCTCCCCGTTTCCCCCCGCTCCCTTAGCCGGATGCAGAGGGAATGTTTTCCAGCATTCCTTGATTAATAAATTAGCTGCAGTTAGAGGACAGCGTACATCCAGGACAGGAACAGTTGGCCCAGTCTTCTGTTCATTCTTTGTTTCTTCTGCTGCATCGGGGAAAACACAAGCTCAGGTCTCCATCCTCTTCTGCTTCACTCAGCAGTGATGAGCCCTCCCTTATTACCTCGTATCCTTTCCCAGACCCCGGACATGCTCCCGACCTACTGACAACAGCTGTCTTTTTCTCAAACAAGCCCTATTTTTAGCTATCAGCCCCAATCCTGTATTCCCAAAAAGTTGACTTCAAGCTGTTGGATACCTCCCGGCTGGGAGGAGGTGTTTGAGCCCCTTGGAGAGGTTCGTTAGTGCTGGAGGTGTGACACCGTCTGGGAATATTTTTCTGCCTTGAGCTCAGTTTTCCTGGGCTGTATTTTTCAGACTGTGTGTATCTTCTGATGAACTTTGCTCTTTTTCTCAGTTTTTAAGGAGAGTTTTTCAACCTTGGTGGAAGAGCCAAATTAGTTAAAAAAAAAAAAAGTTTGGGGCCATATATGGGACTGGGCCCTTCCAAGTCCTTTCTTCCCCCTTTCCCCCCACCAAGGAGATGCTCACAGCACTCTCTGTGTTGCTTGTATGTTTTCGATTTCCCATTGATTATTCTTTAGATGAAAATGGATAATATTTTTGTATTGACCATCTGGGGATATACATTTTCAGTGTGCAAGTTCTCTAGTATAGCAATTTCCCCTGCAGTTATCCTGGTATAACATGGATGAAAACAAACTTTTTTTTTTCCTTTTTTTTCTTTTTTTTTTACCATGTTGCTTGCATCAAAATACTCCACAAGGGGGCAAAGATTCCCATTTCCAGCTCAGTTTGCTGTCACAGGATCAGCTTCTTCAAAATGCTCTAGAGCACAGAATCTGCAGCTAGATCATCAGAGGACAAGATCACTGTAGGGTGAAGAAAGTGCTAAGCTCTTCTAAAAATCTAATTTTTCTTTTGGGCGTAAATAAATACATTGTCAGCATAGCTGAGTTGTGGCCAAAAATGCAGTTCCTAGGCACAGCCTGTCCTTGACAAGAGACTTGCCATGTATTTCAGGTGGATAGGCAGCACTTGGGGCTCTGCTGATGTCCTGGTTTTGTCAGGAGGAGAAGTAGGTTCCATAGCATGAGCGTTTGTACGACGCATCCCTCTTCATTCAGAGACCATTTTTTTCCCCCACCTTGAAATGCAGTGGGAGGAAACCACAGCAACACCTCCCTCTTGCAGTTTAATGCCTGGAGAATCCCGTGCCAAAAAGCTTTGGTGTCCGTTCATGCTGCAAGACATGCTCCCTGCCACCGTCACCTCTTCTGCTGCGGGTTTCTCTCCGCCTGACACAGGCAGACACAACTGCTGCTAATAATTAGTGACCCATCTCTGCCTCCAGCCACCTCTCAGCCATGTCATGGGCCTTGGTTGTTTTAGCAGTCACTGTACAAAGTAACATTTAATTACGCTTTCATTTAGCATGAATGACAAGCTGGTCTCTGCTATGTGGGTATCTGTAGCATTTTCCAGGCACTTGGAGACTTTTGTAAGCAGTTTTCCTCCTGTCTCCTTCTGAACCACAACAGCTTCGAGCTCCCTGGCTCACATCACCTTTGCTGTTTTCTTCCCTCCCTGTACTCAGAGGATGATGTAGTGCTCAGTGTGGGCTTGCTCAGCCTCTCTGCTGAGGGAGAAGCTGCCTTTCAGGTTGGCAAATGGAGTGCCTGTGGCTGAAAATGGGATCGCACAGTGGAGGGAAGAAATCCTGGAAGGCTGATGTATGCCCACACCCTGACCGCTGCTGCCCCCTCTTCTGCAGCAATTGCCCCCACAGCTGCACTCGGAAATCTGAGCCACGCTGAAATTCCTGTTAACCTCAACCAGTGGGGAAAGGGCAGCTAGAAAATACTTTCTTCCCAATAGTACATTTTCTTCATCTTATGTTTTGCAGGATAAGCACTGCGAAGTTTCAGCGAGGGCATAGGGAAGCTGGCACAGGCCATTGCATCTCAGACCTGGGGCTTGAGTAGGGCACGAGAAGTTCCAGCTTTCCACGTATTTATTTTGTCATGGCTGTAATACGGTGCCGAGGTGATTGTTTTTTCCCGTCACCTGTATTTAAGTGTGCAGTCTGCCTAAATGGACTCAAGGTAGTCATCGTAGTCTTGATTTCTAGCCATTTTTGGTCAAGAGTATTTCTGGCAAGCTATCAATGCTTATCTGCAGCTCTGGAGAAGACCATAGACTCTGGAGGGTCAGGGGTGCTCTTGCTGACTTTGGTAGTTCAGTGCCCTATGCTTTTGTAGCTACTGTCAGAAGTCAACACAATTCAGCTGATCTGCTTTACTTTGCACTGAAAAACATGATCAGCATCTCAGGGTGAGGTCTGAACTGCCCGCACTGTGGTGGTCTGTCACCAACAGTCCCGTGCTCATCTGGCCCTGATTTAGCTGCTTTCCTGCCCGTGTGTGAACTGAGCGAGACAGACAGTCAGACCTGGACCCAGGAGGATCATCCCCAAAGCTAGGAACAAGGCAGGAGCTAGAGAAGCCATCCTTTCATTGACATATCGTCAGCTCAGATCTCTTGGGAAAGCTCCACCTTTGCACCAAGGCACAAACTTCTTCATCTGGGCAGTCCCCATTGCAGGAGCGCCGTGGAGAGCAGGGCGGTCAGACCCCTGCGAGTCCTGATGATGATGATGTGCTGAAGCTGCTACAGCACATGTAAACTTTTGGCCCCAAACCTTTTTGGCCTCATCTGGTGATGTGAAAGGCAATTAATATTGTCTTGAATTAATTTAATTACCTATATTCAAGTTTTCCGTAATTGTGTTCCCCTTTCTCTGCCCCGCTCTTCAACTCCGAAGCAGAGGTGTTTCAGGCTTTTTAAACGAGTTATTGTTTGGAAAAACAACTGTCCCTCTGAAGAAGTTTTCCCCTATTTCTTGCAAAATGTCTGTGTATTTGCAATTGGAACTCTAGTTTAATTAGAGGTGTTTTTGCTTGAGATATGCTGACACTTCCATTTGCAACCCAAATATGAAACAGAATTCGTAGTTTGTTCAATATTTAGACCTTTCATATCATACAGTGAGAACACTTTTTAAAGTTCAAACTTTGTTTCTTTTTAAATCACAAAGTTTTTAGAGAGTTCTCAACACTTCCCCAAGGGCTGAATAAAGCTTCACATTTTAGTCCCTGTACTCCAACTTCTGTAAACCAGCTATTTCCAGTGAGATTGGCCTGAAGTTTCACAGGATGCTTGTAGTTATTTTAGTAGTTTGGCCAAACAAACAAAACAATCCAGATGGCTGGACTCAGAGTTGTAAAGTGTTTTTTCTTTTTTTTTTAAGTTACAAAGGAGTGATTATCCACAGCATAGATTTTTTAAAACTGCTTCGTTTAAAAACTGAAGGGCTGCATGTGAATTAGCTTCTTTTACCACTTAAAAATCTAAAAATGTTTGAAATTGGTTCAGATATTTGTATTTGAAAGTCTGCAGATGAGTAATCACAGCACGTATGCTTTGTTCAAAATTGCTTTAAAGGACAAAGGCAATTTCACATTCTAGTCGATCGAGATACCATTTAAAAAAATGCTAGTAGTGGATCAACAACTCGAATGTAAGGCTGAGAGGTCAAAGTCATTTGGGCTGTTGGAGCTGGGTTTTTTTCTCAGTGTAAATCTCAAAATATGTGCAACTTAAAAAAAAAAAAAAGAAAAGAAAAGATTATTGTTAAGACTCAAAAAGAGGGCACGTTCATATGGTAACTTTCTCCTCTATAATTAATTCAGCCCTGCTATGATGGAGCATTGGCCACCTGGGGATTCGTGTTCAGAGTAAAGGAGGGGGTCCCCAGACCTATGTGCACTTCAGCCCCCCGCGCTGATCTGCTCTGTGCTTGCCGCTGGCTTTTCTCCCAACCCCTGCTTGGTTTTCAATGGAGAAGTCCCTGAAAGCAGAGACTCCTGTTGCAAGGTTTTTGGGTACCCCCTGCCAGCAGGAAGCTTTAAGTTTTTGTCTGAGGTTTCTTGGTATGAGTGGCTGACCCCTTTTAGCCAGGAAATTGTGGACGTTTAAAAAACAACCTGTAGGATGCTATTTTTCCGGCCGCCTTCTGCGTCACAGCAGCCCCGGGAACGTGCCAGTTCCCTGTGCCGGAGCAGGTGGGAGATTGGACTCAACCTTGATGCCAACCCAAGGTCATCTCAAAAGAGCATTAAAAAGCATTTGCTGTACAGTTTGGGGAGCTCTTGTTGAGGGAGGATTTTGCTGCATATTGAGTAGTACAAATCCTGGCAATGCAAATGTGACTTGTGCTTCATTTGAGCACACCGTTGTGAATTTGAGTTAAGAATTATGTACCCTGCTTAGCTAAATATTGAGCAGACAGAGCTCTTGACATACTGCTTTTGAATAAGCCTTGAATTTAGGCGGACGTGTTTTTTCCTGTTTTAATACGCTCAATTAAAACAAGGAAATCAAACTGCAAATAGACATTTTCACATTTGTGAAGGTCTGCTGTAATCCTGTGGATGCTCTGGGAAGCAGAGACGTGAAAGCGGTACTCTGTTGTCCACCCACTTGTGATGTGGGGATTGCAAGAGCTGCAGAGGAAAAGTGATCTTTCATAGTAAGATGTGCTTGCATCTGTTTCAAAGGGACTGTTTAAGTTTTCACAGTGAAATGTGGTAGTTTTTCCTTTTTCTTGCAGGCTCAAGTTAGACTCTGATGTTATCCGAGTAGAAGGTTGTTGAGTTTTTCTGCCTTAATGTAGGAGAAAATAAGTGCACTGAAACTAGTAACCTACAATGAGATTTAGATTTGTTTTATGTGTGAGATGGAAAACTGCATATTTTTTTATGATAAATGACTTTGTTTTGCATATCTCTTTCTGTCAGTCTGCCTATCAAAATCTGTCATAGGGGAATTTAACTCTACCCAGCATTAACTGGTGGCAGCAAAACTGTGATTTATATACTTAGTTATGTGCATGCAGAAACCCTGATCAAAGAAGGGAGAAAAATTGATGGAAAACACCCACTCAAAGACCAATAACCGTCTGTTCTCTCTCTTTCCACTCGCTTTCTTCCTTACAGCAACCACTTGAAAGGAAAGACAGCCAAAACAGTTCTCAGCATAGCGTCTCCAGCCACCGCAGCGGGCACACTGCTTCCCCCGTTCACAGCACGCAGGTGCTGCCGGACTACACCGCCGTGGAGGCGCCGGCTGCGGATCAACCGGACAGTTCTGGGCAGAAAAAGCCAGATCCATTCAAAATCTGGGCCCAGTCCAGGAGCATGTATGAAAGCCGACGTGAGTATGAAGCAGGTGTGGTTGCTAAGGCTACGGCTCTGGCAGCTGCTCTCTGTATATTTTCTTTGCGAAGAACTGAATCTTTTAGATTTATGTTGAAAATTTAAGTCTTCAGTTTGTTAATTTGGTGTCTGTCAATGATATCTACTTGATAGAGGTGCAGTTTCCTCTCTGATGAGGAATGAATTTAGATCATCTCTAGGAAGGGGCGCTTAGACCAAAGCTTAATACGACAAATCCTTTTAAAATTAAAGACCATCTTTTCCCCTATTTTTTTTATTTTGCTTTTAAATTAGGCTGAAGGAGAATTTCCAAGTTTATAATCCAGATCCTAAACTCTTTCTTGAGGTTAAGACTCATTGTCTGATATGCACAGGAATTTCAGAAAGGAGGGGAAGTATTTAGTTTGCTGAAATTCGTATCAGATGCTTTCCAGTCTCAGCCTGGGGAGGAGAAAATCCAGCTGAGCCATTTTACTTTGACCAGAGTGGACGCATTAACAATACAGATATCAAATGCATATTGTAAGTGGCTTTTATGGCAATTAATAATCTGC